GGAGCTATTTGCTGTAAGAGGGACCTACATTTCGTATGAAAGTGCATGAAGAATAGATTCGTCCCTCCTGATCGGGTTAGATCGACCAACGAATCTCTTCTTCATCCATTTTCATACGAAATGAAGGTCCCCCTAACAATGTTATCTCAGAAGATTCATCGAAACCCAGTCTCTCTTCGTATCTACTATTTACTGTAGCCTCACACTTCAGCAAGACGAGCCAAGTTGGCTTTGCAACAAGCCAATTCGGCCAAGATGAGAGTGAAAAATAGGCAAAGGAGGAAGAAGTTGAGCAGAAATCAGAGGAAGAATCGAAGCCGGAATCGAGGTGTAAGTCAGAAAGTAACTCGAAGGTGGAATCGGAGGAAAGAAAAGAAGAACCAGAAGTGTAGATGGAGACTGAATGGAGAGATTAAACAATGAGTGAATTGAGGGGTGAATCAGGGGATGAATCGGACTACGAATTAGGGTACGAGTCAGAAATGAAGCATAGGCCGATTCGGAGGTGGAATCGGAAAAGGAATCGGATAATGATTCACATTCAGAGGCTGAAATTGAGATGGAATTGAAAGAGGAAGTATATGATGGATCAATTGATGAATCTTGAGAATGAATCGCAGCTGTAGGGGATTGAGTCACATGAATTGTAGGCCCATTCGAAGGGGGAATCGGAGAATGCCTCGGAGTTGGAGACAACATGTGAAACAGGGGCTAAAATGGAGACTGAATCACAGTGTAAATCAGATGATGAATCAGGTTATTAACCTAAAAACGATTCAGATTATGAATTGGAATATGCATCATAAATGACTAATTAGAAAATGGAATTGAAAAAATAATCAAAGGTAGATTTGGAGGATGAAACATATAAAGAATCAAAGATTGAACCGAAGGATTGCTCAGACGATGAATCGGGTGATGAATCAAAATATAAATCGGCGTGTGAATTGGAGAGTGAATCACCAATGAATCATAGGCCGATTAATAGGACTATTTGTAGAAGTATTGTAAGCAATCTGAGGCGCCTAGTAGTTGGAGTCGGAGGAGCAAAAAGAAATAAGAATCAGAAGCTGAAATGAATGGATGAATCAGATGATGAAGCAGTTTATTAATCTTACAAATTTTTCGCAAAATGAATAGGAGTATGAGCCAGAAATTATACAAATGCCGATTTAAAGGAGTTAGGGAAGGGATCGGAGGACGAAACAAAGGAAGAATCAGAGCTGGAAAGAGATACTGGATGGAAGGATGAATCAAATGATGAGTCGAGTGATTTGTCGAAGGAGAAATGAGAGTACGAATTAGAGTATGAATCAGAAATGAATCATATGGTGATTAGGAAGAGGAATGAGATAAGGTTTAATCGGAGGAACAAACATAGTATGGATCAGTGATCGAAGTGGAGACCGAATCGAATGAGGAATCTAAAGGTGGATTTCGTGTATGTTTGGGAGTTTACTCAAAAAAATAAAATAAAGGCCAATTCGAAAGAAGAATCTGAGGTGAATATAAATGGGGAATGAGGGGCTGAATTAGGGGGAGGGGGACCAGGAGACAAAACAAAGGCTGAATTGGAGTGATCGGAGAATAATAGGTGGAAATAGTATTTTTCGAATTAAGTATTGTTATCTTGGGAAAATTCTTTTTCTACCTTAAACTAAATTGGGTGAATACATCTCATACTACTGATTTACTGGTAGTCACAAAAACAATACTTTATTCGAAAAATAGAGTATAGTAGTCGATTGTTATAGCAGATATACGTTTGCTTAATCGTCAATTCCACCAAAAGAATATTATATGGCAAAATGGCCTGGCCTTCCCTGAAAATTCACACTTGCCCTATGGCCCAAACAAGGAACTCGTGGCTGTGTTGCCGAGTGGTTGGCGTATCAAGCTCCCATCCTGCACCGTCGCGGTTCGGCTCCCGCTGAGGGTGTTGATAAGACCGATCCGAGGTCGAATCTGCAGTCCACTTCTGTCTGGATGAGAACAACTTTTGGGAAAGCAAGGCTTTGTGAAATGCAATGGAAACGTCAGCTCAACTCATATCTTTTGTGGGAAAATTCTACTTCTACCAGTCCTTCATCACCTTGAACGAAATTGGGTGAATACATCTCATATTAGAGGAATAGTAGGCTGACTTCGATTGGGAATCGTGCTATGCATCAAAAAGTGAATCGGAGGAGCCATCGAGTGCTGACTCAAAGGAGTCGGAGGAGAAATCTCAGATTGTTTCGGCGGATAAACCGGACGCCAAAGCTGGAGATAAATGGCAAGCTTAATGGGAGAATCGTGAGAGCAATGACAGGATGAATGTTAGGAGATGTTGTAGGTGGAATCGGAGGAAGAATCAAAGATTAAATTGGAGTCTGTCACGAAGAGGAAAAAGAGGCTTGATTTGGAGTAGGAATTGTGGTATGAAATGGAGGAGGCCGAAGGGACGGAGATTATGAAAGCAAGGCAAGAGGGGCAGAGGAAAAATGATGGATATGTCTACCGTCCTGCGAATTGGCTCTGAAGCTACGGCCAATACTATTGGAATGAAAGAACAACCCGCTTCACCAGCTTGCCCAGGCAACCGAAAGAAGTGAACAAATGGAGTGTTCCGAAGTGTCCTTCAATCATACAATGCGACCTCGGCTGACTAGGCTTTTAGTGTTGTTGGAGATTATGAAAGGAAAGCAAGAGAAAGACAGTAAAAATGGCGGATATGTCTACTCTTCTGCTAATTGCCTCGGAAGCTACAGCCAATAATATTGAAATGGAAGAACGACCCTCTTCACCAGCTTGCCCAGGCAACCGGAAGAAGTGAGCAAATGGAGTGTTCCGCAGCTCGCAGCATAAACAGCAAGAATTGTGAACAGAAATGCATCGAAGCGACGAGAAGTCCAATCCGGACAAGGCCCAAAGAGCACCA